AGATGGGTGTGGATTCCAGTGGTGACATCTGATAGTATCATTATAATATTATTTACTCCTCACAAAGCTAAAGAGCAATTACCTTCCAATGGTTAAAAATGCTTTCAAAAACATTTTTGAGTTACTTGATAAACTGTTTAGTGTCTCACTACAGAGGGCCTTGCTTCTGTGGGATTATCTGACATCACTTTTAACTTTCATTGCCAGTGATAATGACTTCAGAAGCCTGAAGTATAACAGGATCATCCAGCTTAATTGTCATGAGAACATCTCTCTCTGGTAGACAATGGCATATGTAAAAATACTCTTTGACAGGAAATTTAAATGTTTATTATCAACTATGATGTTCCCTGACTTTTAATCATTATATTTGTATCTTTCCAGTATTAATTGCTACAAATCTATTAGGAATACACTGGTCTCCCCTTATCCTTGAGGGATACATTCCAAGATCCCCAGTGGATGCCTGAAATCATGGATAGTACTGAACACTATATATATATACTATGCATAAGCTTCTTTTTCCTTCTTTATAATTTCACAGATTAAAACATTGTTCTTACCCTAGATTTTAGCAACCTAAGCATACAATTCTTTTTCTTTCTTTATTGTGAAGAACTGTCACCTTTTCACTTAAAGGAAGCACTCTGTGGCTTTTCTTTGGCATTTCCAAACTGCCAGCGTCACTACTCTTGCATTTTGGGGCCATTATTAAGCCAAATAAGGGTTACTTGAACTCAAACACATCTATACCACTACAGTGGATTTGATAACCCAGGTGGCTACTAAGTGATTCATAGGGAGGTAGTACAGACAATGTGGGTACCCTGGACAAAGGATGATTCATATCCTGGTCAGGTCAGAGTGAGACAGCGTGACATTTCATCATGCTGTTCAGAACAGTGTGCAATTTAAAATGTATGAATTGCTTATTTCTGCAATTTTCCATTTATTATTTTTTGTCTGCAGTTGATCACAGTTAACTGACACCTGGGGTAACTGAAACCCCAGAAGGTGAAACTGTGGATAAGGAGGAACTATTGCAGAGTGTAATAAAATATAAAATACAACGGGAAAAACTCGGAGTAACCAGAAGATCGAAATATGCTTTGGAAATTTTATTCTCCTATTAGCCCCTCAAAACTGGAGACAGATCTGTAAACCGACAATTACTATACAGGGTGACTAATGCTTTAAAGCAGGATATGTGGGAATTGTGGAAACATAGCAAAGAGACACCTGATTCATCCCAGAGTTGCAGAAGAGGTTTCTTTACAAAAGGGCACTTAAGCTGAATCTTGAGGGAAGAGTAACAGCTGACCAGGGGGACCAGGAGTGTGAGAGACCCAAGGATAAGCACACAGCATGAGCAAATGCAGGGAGGCATGCCATGGTGTTTAACAAAGAGGGCTATGGCAAAGGAAGCGGCGGACGGATGGAAGCGGGGGAAAAAGGCAAGCCCGGTGAATGAACCTGTGCATTAACTCAGGTGCGTTAACACTGTATACCCTGATTAGAAATGGTGGCAATTTTTAATGAGCAAATGATTTATATTCACTCTGTAATAAACCAGTTTTTCCCAATTCTTACTGTGGAAAAAGCACATCTGCACATTCTAGCTTCTAAAGTGCATCCACGTTCAGAGTCATGCCTGAGCATGTTCGCAGAAAGTCTTTGGAATTTTTATAAGTGCGTCTTTGATGTGATTTTTATGAGCAGTGTTAATTTCTTTCCACATGAATAGCTTTAATAATGCTGCAATCTAAATCCTGTTTAAATTAGTTTATATTGTTTTCTGCTTTCTCAGTGATCTTTCCACTGAATACAAAATTGAATTTACAGTTGAGTATTGAAAATGACCACTCCCAATATCCTCCTGTAGCCATCCAGAGAGAGTTACTGGCTTAGTCTTAATTAATGTAAATTAAAGTTACTTCTTACATGGCAACAAATATTGACTGGCGTTATCAAGCATGCCTTAACTAATGTTTTTTTAATTTAATTTGAATGTCAGTACATCAATCATATGTCGCCCTGTCAGTTTCAGAAAGTTCAGAAATGAAGATGAAATTGGGAGTTTTCAAAACTATATTCCTCTTTTAGGCTAATGGAATTCTGCCTCCTAGTACTTGTTAACATGTTAGAAAATCTCTTGGATACTTACTTTTGAAATCATGTATTTTCAGTGGCTTAATCCTAAGAATATTGTTTCCTCTTTCTGAAATGACAGTCTGCTAGTGAACTTACTGTGATCTGGATCTAGGTGTGAAGAGCAATCAAATGCTTTCAGACCATTTGAGCAAACATACACTTTTACAATTTAAGTGTGTTTTTCCTGATAGTAAAGTTAGTCTATTTATGAACTGAGCACCCCAAGCAAGAGAAGGAAATACCGCTGTGGGAGAAAGAGACGAACAGCATTATGCTCCCTCCCTATAAAGCTCATGACAAACGCATTAAGGATTTTTCTTTCTCTGTGTTACATAGACACGAAAGTCACAGCAAAGGGGGAAAAATGCTATATGAAGTCAGTGTCTCTTTTTCTGTTGTTATCTTTTAAGAGGAAAAAAAAAGATTTCTTCTCAGCATTAGGTTTATTTCTACTGTCTGTTCTGAGGTCCATTCTCCTAACATATATTGGTGGGGAGAGAGGTAGAGAGAGTGGATGGAGGCAAAATTTATTCTGCCTGGAACGGTCGCAGTGGGCCTCTCACAAACATAATGCTAAATTATGGGCCTCTCCATGGGCTGAACATAATGTTAAGTTGTGTGATGGATTTTATCTTATACAAGCCGCTCCGGTCCATGAAATGAGATAAGAAACCATTGCAGCTGGAGTTCACTGAAGGTTGAACTTAGACTGAAATTCCAAAGTTAACAAAATGATGTAAGCTGGCTACAATACTCAGTAAGTGTGTTCTGTGCCTGTGGGTTGAGATTTTCAAGGAAACTTGAGTCTGTCACTGACAGGATGTTTTGTGGGTGTTCCCAGGCCAGTTATCTCCTCTGGTTAAAGTATGAGGGCAGGGGGGCAGGTTTGCTCATAAAAAAGCTTTGATCCCCAAGTCTAGAAGGCCTGTGTGCAGCAGGAGAGGGCTTAGAATGGTGGCTGAGCAGCATTCTTAGGGCACATCCCTAAAAGCTGCTTTTTTCCCTGAGGAAGGCAGAGCTTAGCTGCAGGACCTTGAATCCGGCTCAGCCCCACCTTCATTCAGGATGCGCACCTCGTGGGCAAACATCAGCCATACTAAGGAAGCTGTACCCTGGTCTGGGAGGAGGTCCTCATGAGAAAAGATACTGATGAATGTTTGTAAAGCACACTATAAATTTACAAAGCACTCAATGGTGGGAAATTTTCATATGGTGTGTAAAATACTAATAACAACTCAATGGTTGATTTTAAATATCTGATGAGTAAAATAAAATCATTTTCTCAAGCATGAATCTCCAGCTGCCTATTCATGTGGAATGTATATATGTTTATATGTAAACAATACATAAAGATGTCTCTGATGCCCCTCCAGTGGAGGGACAGTGCCTGGCACACAGTAGGCACTCAGAATTTTTTAAATGAATGGGTAAGAATCTGAATCTTTCAATCTAATTTTGTTCCTGATTCTTAGAATTCAAAGTCTACCTATGTTACTTGTAAAATTGTAGGATATTAGGCCAGGCACGGTGGCTCAGGCCTGTAATCCAGCACTTTGGGAGGTCGAGGTGGGCGGATCACCTGAGGTCAGGAGTTCAAGACCAGCCTGACCAACATGGAGAAACCCTGTCTCTACTAAAAATACAAAAAATTAGCAGGGCATGGTGATGCATGCCTATAATCCCAGCTACTCAGGAGGCCAAGGCAGGAGAATAGCTTGAACCTGGGAGGCGGAGGTTGCGGTGAGCTGAGATCGCACCATTGCACTCCAGCCTGGGCAACAAGAGTAAGACTTCATCTCAAAAAAAAAAAAAAAGAAAGAAAAGTAGGATATTTTTCCCTAAAGTACATTTTCTAGGGATTGCAGAATATAAATGAAAGGCTTCTTCCCTCAGGTTTGCCTGGAAAATAGGCAGTGAGCCTTCAGCAGTAGTCAGATTGATTAATGTTGTAACAACTGACATACAACTTCCAGTTCTAATTAACCTAATCACCCGCAGACTTCCTTTTTCTCCACCTCCAAGCCATACAATACAGGTTTGTTCCAGTAACCATTCCCAAATAGGCAAGTCTGTTTCCTTTGAAATAGACTTGACCACTTATTTTCGTTTCCCATTTTCCTATGCCTCCAGCACCACACACATATATCCCAAACCAGCTTCAAATGGGCTTTCCATAGCCATCTGAAGCAAACACTGAACACATCAGGAAACATGTCCTCTTTTGTAGAAAACTAGGAAATATTCTATTTTTCAGCTTAATTAAATATGTGGTATTAGCCCTAAAATGAAATCAGTTTTGAACTACAGTAGAATGAGAACTGACTTATTTCTACTACTTGTCTTAGGAACAATACCATACATTACAACCAGTTTTAAAGTAATCCGTTCTTTCTTCCACATTTTAACACTAACTCAGCTGATTCCATAAATCAGAAAACTGGTAACACTGTTTAATATTTTCGATAAAGGAAAAAAAGAAATGAAGTAGAGACCCAGTAGGTTAATAACAGTTTTTCAAGTCTGTCTTAAGAAAGAGAAATCAAGATTTGGTGGAAGAATGAGGCTGGAACTTATGCCTAAGAATGTCTAGAACAAATCTCCTAGAGCTGAGCTCATGGAGTTGGTAGAGGAGAGTGTGAACCTCTTGAGTGATTCTGTGGCACCTTAGAGTTAGATGAGAAAAGAGAAGTTAAGTGATTATACGGCAGTCAGTCTCAGGAAAGCCAATTTGTTCAGTTCTGAAACTATATCCAGTAGGTTAGACTATGCTCTGTCTTTTGAGAGGAACAAGAATAAAGTGTATTTTCTCATCTTGGCATTATTTGTACTCGGTGGTTTTCCATTTCCAGATGATAGCAAGTTTTCAGAGGCTATCACAGTGTTACTTTCCTGGATTGAACGAGGGGAAGTGAATCGGCGCTCTGCAAACCAGTTCTATTCCATGGTACAGTCAGCCAACAGCCACGTCCGCCGGCTCATGAATGAAAAAGCCACCCATGAGCAAGAGATGGAGGAAGCCAAGGAGAATTTTAAAAATGCCTTAACTGGGATTCTCACTCAATGTAAGTAAAATTTTGGGGGCCATTTTTTTTTGTTGTGATTTTTGCCTTTTCTTTTTCATTAATTTTATTTTTTCATTTGGGGGTAAGTAGTTCAATAATCTCCCATTTTTACTTCATATTCAATGGCAAACTTCATAACCTATTTCATGTTCTGTGGCAACTTGGAAGAACACGGACCCTGCCCTGAGAGTTTACTTCTCAAGGTGAGCAACGTTTCTGTAGCTTTTCCTCAGAACAGCAAGCCTGGCCCCCAGGGCAGGGCAGCTAGAAGCATCTGTGCCTGCTGGAGCCACCACAGTTCATATCAGAGCTGCAGGGCCGCCACTCTTCATCTGCAGGCTGTCCACACAGACCCCTGTGTCCTCCTAGTGCTGACAGTAGGAAGCAAACTTGAACACATTTTCCTTGGGCTCTGTGTAGGAAAAGGGTACCACCAGAAAAACTCCTCAGGATCTTTTATTTGGGTGAGCTGTGGCTGTCAAAACGGCCAACTCAAGAGTAGAGATGTTTTTATCCTTTCTTCATTTGGAAAGCAAATTGCCTTAACTACTTAATGCCTGTGATTTTTTTTTTTTTTAATGTCCAGAGTCTAAATGATGAAGGGGTGTAAATGGGGCTTTCTCTTAGAACAATAGTCAGGGTAATTACCCAGGCTCTATTCCAAAAAAAGGGCGTATATTTTTCTTATGGGCACTCTATCTGTGTCTGTAGTTAATGTCACGGCAGCATAATGCATCACAGCTGCTGATGTTCTCTTGCTTGGTAAAAGCCACTGAATGACACTGTAACAATGCCACGCTCCATTCCGAACCAGGTGCAGGGCCCTATGCGACAGTGACATATGGGGTGTATATATCCATTCTGAAGATAAGTCCTATTTTCTGTGCTATCATGTGCCAAAATGCCTATCATCTCTTTCATCAGTGCAAACACAAGAAATACTGTATCTGTCAGGATGGGGTGGAAGGGTGGACAAAACCAAGATCTTAAATGTACAAATATCTTATATGACTTGATCAAAAGACAGGTTCTGCAGCAGCATAGCATGTCATGTAACAAATTCTCAAATGTGAATTTTAATAAGTGATCAAGTATCCAGCATAAGACCAATCTGTCTTTAAAGAAAAGGAATAGGAAAAATGACTGCTCTGTCTTTACACAGACTGATACCAGACCACCTTACCTAGATTCACCAGCCTTGAGGAGCAGCCCTTTACTTAAGAGTGTATGTCTAGAAACTCTAAGGTTATTAGGATAGAATACAGAGAAGTAATATTAACAGCAGTTTTTAAAGGAGGGAAGAAGAGAATGGATCAGTGGATAGAGGGAAGGTAAGAATGAACTAGTAATGGAGAAAAATGAGAGAGAGTAGAGTAAAACAATTCTAATAATACAGTTTCTGTAAAGTAAGTTATGGTAAGAAGTCATATGCCTGAACAGTGAGATGATTACTGTATGTTTACCTTTCACTGATTGGCATCAATTTTAAATAAGTTCTAATTCCCATGCAGTGTATAGTCCCAACGGGCACAGGAGACCCAATGTTGGCTCTAACAATAAAGATAAGAGGGCAGCAATGGGCTAGAATAGGTGAGAGTTTTCTTTGGCAGTAACTATTGAAAGAGCCACCTATTAAAATGAGGCCCCTATGATGTGGCTGAAAGAACACGACATGTCTACCTGTCATTATACAGCTGTAAGTTGGCCCATATTTGAAGCAACTGAGAAGTGGACAGAAAAGTGTTGCATGGGGGACTACAAATACTTTTTGGTATGAAAACCAAATTGGAAAATGATGTGGAGATTTACAGCAATAATTGGCTTCCAAATGCTGGATGCTGTGTTGAGCATCCAGCCTCAGGCAGCAGTGAAGACCCCAGCCACATTCGCTGGAGGCTACACTTCGGATGCCTAAGCAAGGGAGTAGGCAAGCAGAACCCATGCTCTTCCCAGGGAGGCGGGCTCATCACTCCCTGAGAAGGAGTAAATGAAGGGGTGGAGCAGGGCCAGCAAGATCCTATCTCCTAGAAACCACAGGATTGGAGACTGTCTCTTGGGCACCTCACCTTTGAAATACCAAAAATGAAATCTTTGCTTTTAATCTTCAAACTTGTTCCTTTTCTGGTTTTTCCTTCCCATTCTCATAAATTCTCAAGCCAAAGTCTTGTACTTTTTGTATCTGCCATCTCCCACCACCACAACCTCCATCTAGGTCATCAAGAAGTCCCATTGTTTCTTCCTTCAAAAATATACCCCAATTCAGCACACCCTTCTTCATTTTAACTGCCACCACCCAAGTCAGGCTGTGGTTGCCCGATGTGTCAGTAAGACACGGCATCCACACGTGAGTATCAGAAAATTCTGCCAAACAGTATCTGAAACAAGTGGAAGATTTTTCTCTTCAGACATAGTAAAATCCAGATGTGGAGTGTGTTGGCACTGGTCCAGTGGTTCAAGGCTGCCAGGGCTGAGGTCTCTCTGGTGCTATTTGCTTTTCCTGGATAGTTGTCTATGATGGTTGCTGCTGCGCTTGCCATCACATCTTCTTTTTCCAGGCTGAAATCATGTAAGAAAAGAGGAACAAAGACATAGGAAGGAGTCTCATCATCATAGCAAGAAAGCAAAACTTGCCCAAAAATCCATCCCCAGCTGACTTCCACATATGTCTCATTAGGCAGAATTATGACACCTGGCCATGCCTAACTACAGAGAATGTGAGAAATACAATTTTTGACTAGGCCTCCTGCTCTCCAGAGTGAAACTGGAGTTATCATAATAAGGCAGGAGTGGAAAATGGCTACTAGGAAGAATGTTGCAGTTCTTGCAATACAGAGTGCCTCCCTTTCTACTTCTACTCTAGTTCGTTTGTTTTTCACATTTCATCTGATGCAAATCAGATCATGTCTTCCCCACTTAACATTCCTTGAGTAGCTCCCCCTTGCATTTAGAGAATACTCACTGTCCCTAGCCAACAGAGCTCTCTGTGCCTACCTCTTTAGCATCAGTTATCCTCAGACTCACCATGTATCAACTCCATTGGCCCCCCTCCCCCTGAGCCCATCAAAACGACTTTTCCACCATTTGGCCTTTACACATTGTGTTCCCTCTGCCTGGAGTGCCCTTTCCCCTACTCTGTATGCTTCGCTTTTTCTTATCCTGTAGGTCTTGGCTGAAGGGCCACCTCTTCAGAGAGGTCTTTCTGGTCCACCTCTTGTAGTAGATTCACTATCGCTGCATCTTATTAAGGTCCTTTGTAACACTTATCCAAATGTGTAGTGACTTCATGATATGTCTGCTTTTATTTATTATAGCAGGCATCACAAAGGAGGAGATGTGTCGTTTTTTAGTCATCAATATATATCAAGTGCTAGAACATAGAAATATGAGAGAAATATTTGGTGGATGAGTGTGTGAATGAATGAGTGAATCGGAAGACAGGCAGGAGGGAACCCTGAAACAGTGAGTTCAGAAATTTCTGGTGACCTCATTGAGTAGTTTGGCATTGACATGAGAATCATCTACAGGAAACAAGGTTTCAACTTGCATGTATAATGAAGCAAATCAGAGAAAAAGCTCAACTGCTGTACTTTTATTGGAAATTGCCACACTTTACCAAATTCTTGGTAGGAGGCTAGGAAATATTAGGAGAGTTGGGGTGAACGAATCATCAAAAATTTACGTTGGAGTATCTCCAATTTTAACCATCCAGCAATCTCTGTATTTACCATCTGTCTGTTACTATTTGAGAATCCCCCTTAGCCCTGTAATTTGATTCTGAGAAGTATTTCAGCAGTTGGCAGATATCAACCGAGATTATGAAAATCCTACAGTGCTAGCCAGGGTGTATACATCCCAGCCATGGAGGCTGTGAGGGGCCTTCATTTGAGTCCTTGACAGCCAAGATCTTTCAAGATGACTTGAAGTTGGAAGTTGAGAGATACCCTAAATGTGAGCGTCGGCTAGAATTAAGCCTGTGAGGCAGCACCGGAAGATTGCATATCTCATTGAGCAGCCTCAGAACTTTCCATTCTCTTCTATGTGCTTTTACAAAAAAGTCTGCAAAGAGGAACCCGGTCTGTGAAAATATTAGCAGTAACCTGACTAACCTGGTAGGTGTGTGCACATCTCCTCCTCCTTTAATCTGAATGCATTTCCTTTCCTGTCTGGAGTTTCCCTCCCTCTAGTGGAGCTATATTTGTGTCTCAACCACAATTCCTGCTTTCTACAGCTCTGTTCAGTGTGGCAAGTTGAGTTTGGCGTCAGGACTGTGGGGATGCTTATAAAACAGTAACTGCCAAAGTCCACCGTGACTGACACACTTGCTGCATTTTCCAAAAGCAGAACCAGTCACACCCCATTTGTCTGCCTTAATATTCCTGGCAAGCACCACAGGAATCACATTTTGGCTTCTTCCCTTAGAACGAGATTAGAATTGTTAAGCACGAGTCTTCAGGAGTTGCACTTCTGTTTTCCTTCTCCCAGGTGGCTGGAAATTTCCTGGTTATTCCAGAGCACCCCTAACTGCTCCCTCCCACATAACGGATCTCCCCAGTGTCAGTGCCAAAAGATCTCAGCGTCAGCGACGTTCTTGAAGGCATTCCCTGGTAGCCCGTTCACTAAACAGCCAAGCATGTTGAGAAATTCTTGTGAGGTGGTTTGGAAGCAGGTGTATTGGCCAACTAGCTAACTAGTGGGGCAGGCCTGGTATCCCCAACAGAGGGCTCACTCAGCAACTTCCAGGGAAGCTCAGGTACATTGCAGGGTTCAAAGCATGTTAAAAGCATGTGGGTCCCCTTATGGATTTTGCTGGAAATAGCTAAGTGGTTGAATAGGACAAGGGAAACTTCAGGTGTGACCCAGGAGCTGGATAAGATGCCCCATCTCCTTTCCATGCTTGTGTACTTCTTCTTGCTTTCATTTGGAAAGGATCCATAGGCTCAAATGTTTGGCCTGGATTACTCTCCAGCCATTGAGGAGAAAGAAAGCTGAGATATCATTCC